CCGTTTCTCTCCAGCACTGGAATAAGGGAAATTGGTGGAGATTACAGTGGACAGGAGACGTGGGAGAAGCAAAGGCAATAAAATCGAGCAGAGAAGTTAACCCTTTACATTAAAAAGGAGAGGCCTAACCCCCCACCAGCACAAACATTCGCACTGCCCCTGCATTTTGTGTGTTGCATTCAGATGCCTTTTGTCCCAATGCTCCTCTGGGCTATCTTTAAATTACAAGAGATGTCCCAGAAGCCCCCAAACATGCTCACACAGAGCCGTGAGGCCCGGTTCTAGTTTAGACATCAGAGAAATGATGGCAGCACAGCTAGATGATAGAGATTTTAAAAAAGTAAAAAAGTAGATGGTGAAGATAAGTATGGAGTGTCTCCTTAGATTTAAAGGGACTGACAGTAGGTTGAATAGCTCACACAGTGGTACGTGTGTATTTGCACAAACCGAGGTGAGAGACCTGGTTGAGGTTGAGTTGAGATGGAAGTAGAAAGTTGAGTAGATCAAAAATATCAGATGGATAGAAACTTAAGAAGATGACAGTGTTTATGATTAGGGAAATCAGAGCTGGGCTCAACATTGTTACACAGTGACTGATTTGTCAAGTAGGATGTTCCTGAATCAACATACACGGTTCCCATGGTCATGAAAGTGTCAGGGAATTCTTAAAATTGTGTTTTCCAGGCATAGAAGAGTCATGGAAATGAAATAGTAAATGTATACGTAGAAATAGTAAATATATACTTTTTTTGTCTGCACAAGAACAAAATATTTTTGAGTAAAAGTGGCCTGCAAGCAGTGTTAACAAAAAAAATATTTTCATTAATTGAAATAAAAATGAAATCTAAATATTAAATGGAAAACTAAGTTGGATTTGAAGCACTAAAATTACTAAAACTAAACTGAAATAAAGAAAATAAAAAAACAAAGGCTAATAAAAATGACAACCCTTCTAAAACTTATAATAATTGAAAATATATAAAAAATAATACATTTTAATTATGAAAAAAATACATTAGTAATTCAAGATTCAAAAATGATACTTAATACTATATAATTGTTACTAAAATAACACTGCTTGAAAGCCATAGAAATGTCTGATTTGTGAGCAATGGTTGTTATTAATATTATCATTTTTATTATATTTTTTAATGGATCACTCCAATTCACACATTGGTCTGAATGATTAATTGATGGCTCACTAGTCTAAAAAACAAAAACAAATCCCATTCCATTGTTTGGAAATTACTTTTAGTTTACATGAATGTTGTTCTAGCATTAACACCAAGATGTTGATCCAGGAACCTCCTCCTTGGTAAAATGACTGTGAGCCCGGGGAGATGTAGCATGACTGGTATTTGTTCTGTGGTTTTAAGCACAGCTAAAAGCCCTCCAGTCTCTCTTGTTCTCTCTCTTCTCAGTGTAAACCAAGCGAAGAGTCTACCCAAGAGAAGAACAGAGTGCAGTTCAGCACTCTTCAAGTGCTTCAAAACTCTCACAAGTCTCCATTGTTTCTTTTTATGAAGTCCCTACATTGTTCTTTGATTTTTTGCAAAACGTTTGGTTTTATTAGGAGATTTTTCTAAAAACCTTTCAAGTGAACAACAATGGTGCAGGCCAGAAAAGCAGCGAATGTTAGGCCTGTTATCTTGATAAAAGTTTGACCCAGGTGTTTAATCTGATTGGGCAACTTTAGGTCTTGTATCCAAAGAGAACTTCCTTTTGAAAACTACTCTTTTGTTAGAGAAGTTGATTTATGTGCCAAAATAAATTGCTTATCAAAAGTTGAACTACGTGAGCTAGCCGTAACCAACTTCCCAATGTGAGACTGCTTTCTTGTACCATTTTTTGATGGATTTTGTATATCAGATTCTTGCTGATGTGTGAGCTGTTTAGTGAACGCAGCCACATCCAAAAGGTCAGAATGAAAAGTGCCTCATTCCTGTTCTCTAATGAGAGGATCAGGTGTCTCATTTCAGGACAGAGAGGGAACGCCAGAGTGAGCTCAATCTGTCCTCACTAGAGACCATTTGCAGAATGCAGCAGACTCTGTAATGTGGCCAAGCATAAATACTGAGATTTCTCTGAGGCATAATTTCACGAGTCACCTGTTGGCATCACACTTAAATGTGTGCATGTGTATTCAAAGTCAGTTGGATGCATTTTCTCAGAACCCCAGTGTGAGGTTCAGAACTTTAAAACATTCTGAGAATGTTTCAGATGTGTTTCGTGAAGGTTAGAAGTCCAGGTCCTTGGCTGTCTTTCCACCTTCGAACGGCAGTGTGGTTGGCATGGCCGGTGTGTGTCAGTCCAACTTGTGCCAATGAACAATTCTTTTGTGAGTGTAGTGTTCAAAATCCAAGCGCCGGTCGCCATTTTACTGGCCTTTTGTAACTGTGGTCTGGAAAAACACTACTTTTATTATCTTAATTAATGTCTGAGATCATTTCACCATTACCTCTTAATTGTTTTCAAAAAAGTTTTTGTTATGCCTATGTTTTTTAGTAACTTAAATGTGCCCTTTAACATGTAGCTCTTAATTTGATTATTTTACCCACATCCTGTATTTTGGTTGTTTAATAGCTATGTTTTCAAAAATAGAGAAAATAATCTTGTCTGTATGAAAATAAATATTGAAAATTAGTTTGTTGACTTTTTTTATTTCTCCCCCTCTTGTAATACCCAACAATTATAATCACTCGCTCTCCACAGTCCACACCCTGAGAGTCCCAACTTTAACTTGAGACAATATTCAGATCTGCGTTTTGTTTGCCTTTTTTTTTTCCCCCCCTTTCAGTTATTCCATTTATTCCATTCAAGTTGTTCCACAGTCACTGGTGGAATGAGCTGCAGCTTTCATCCGAACTTAAATCCATTGCAATCTTATTTGAGAGCACTTTCAAGCTTTTCTACTGTTCTGCACTTGGAAAGTTGACAAAAAAATGGTCATTGTTAAACTGTTTTGTACAATATTTTCCTGTCAATAATGTGCATGTAGTTTCATGACCTCATCAGAATACAGTAATATTTATACATTTAGAAATGTATTTGTTACATCACAGGTCCATTTAAAACAATCGCGTGATGGCAAAATGGTTATTAAATTGTAAAAAAAAATGAAATATGTACGTCACCATACTTGGCCACATGTCACTTCACTCACTCACTCACTCACTCAATAGTAACCATCCCACTGTTCTTCTCATATGTTGTGACTTCCTTTGGGGGCAGGGGCAGGGGAGTTGATCAATTGCTAGCCAGTGTTGCCAGATTGGGCGGGTGGACAAAATTTGGGCTGGTTTGGGGTCAGTTTGGCGGTTTTCAAACATGTAAATTGCATAGGCTAATTGTTTAACAAACAAGCCCAAGTATGCATGTACTGCATCCAATCAGTCATCACAACGTTACTACACACACACACACACACACACACACACACACTGCTGATGCAAACCTCGCACTTATCACAAGGGCTCAGCAGACAGACTTAATGATTCATGAGTGACAAGTTTTTAGCGTGATGTTATAACGTATCTGATTTTGAATGTAGTGACTGTATATTCAAGTAATCACAATGCCTAAATATAAGTTAAAAGAATGGGAGAGTGACTCAACTCTCAGAACGTGAATTATTGTGGAGCGAGATGACACGAAGGCTCTATCACTGCAATTCCGAAATCAGAGCACATTTGAATTAATGAATCAAACCTGAAACTAAATATGTCGGTTTATACGGTCCTGTCTTTTATCGTATAAACGCTCAAAATTGATAAATCCTTGCAAACTGCTAGACTTGATGAGTTTTGACTGTGCAAAGGTCTGTGTTATGACAATATTAACGGGTAAGCGCATTTGTTATTTTTAATTGTCGGATTATAATTCAGTATGTTGAATGACACAGTTTTGACCATCATAGTGAGTGCACGAACGAGTGTGAAATATCTGCTAATTACGTTGCTTTTTCCTTTCACTTATATTGGCCACTTTTTGCATTTAAATTGATATTGAAAATGATGCATTTCTTGATTGCCGTTTTGACTGTCTGCTTGTATATTTTATTCATGTTCGGTAGCCCAATTCTCTTTCATGTAGGCTATTTGCCCAGATTCGATCCGTTTACCTGGGAAATTTATCTAACGTTATATTTATATATTTTTGTCATTATTTTGTTTTAAGGAGGTAAAAATGGCCCTTAGCAACCTTGGTTTACATATTTCATCACATTATTTTGACAGTTAAAGGTTTGGGCGTTTTTGGGAGGGTTTTGGGCTGGCAATCGTCCATCCAATCTGGCAACACTGTTGCTCATTTTACAGTAGGGCCGCCTCTCGAGCTCTGTGTGCGCGTGAGAGTCGTGACTCGTGTTGTTGTTAAACCAGGCACACTGCTGCTCGACTTCCCCTTATCGCTTGACAGGAGTTTCCCTTCAGGTACGAGACTTTTTTTAATTTTATTTTTTGACTTCTTTTACAATTCTTTTCTCTGTCTGTTCACACATTCTGCCAGTTTTCCTTGAGCTAAAGGGCTGCTGCAAGTCTGCTGTCTTTGAATGCTACATAAGGTGACAGTTACTTTGTGATGTGAAGCTGGCTCTTTTTGTTTTAAACTTTTTTTCTTTTTTTTTCATTTTGAGAGATTTATTTATTTTCTTTATTTAATTCGACTTTAATGCTTCTAAAGATAAATTCTATGCGGTTTCATAAAAGATTATGGTTTGATTTTCAGACATTACTGAGTTTGTATGCGGAGTAAAAGTTACTGGACCATTTCTACATACTGAAACAGTGGTTCACAAACAGCGTTCTTGTCATTCCACACATGACAGAAAAAGAATAGCAGGAATTGTGAAGACAAAAAAAACACAAAATTCATAATATAAGCCTTTGTGACTCTGAATTTAGCTTTATTCTCCAGTATTTGAGACAGTTGAGAATCACATTTCATTAGAGAAACCTTTAGAGCATTTGTTCTGTTCCTTATTCAGATTTTCACTGGTAGCTATGGCTTGTGAATCTTCAGGGTATGTTACTGACTCATGAATGCTGAATTGCATGCCTAAAACCTATAATACACGGGTAACTTTTTGAGCAATTTTGCTGGTGAAAAAGTGCCCAAGCAACATTGCTCAAAAAGTTGTCCCATGTATCATCAACCTTAGGCCATTTTGCAGAATTGTAAAGTTGTATTTCCAGTTCTGCTTAAATGACTTTCAAATAGTGAGGCAAAGTGAAAAAACATTGCTTATTTTTTCTTTTCTTGCCTACAGGTTTTTTTCTTACAAGAATGACCGCAGTTCTTTGGAATATCAATTGTCTGCTGAGAATAAACTGGACTCTTCTGAAGAGCTGGAGCATAATTCATTGCAGCAATCAAGTCTTCGGGATTCATCAGAGTCAGGAAACGACACAAAGTCTGATCAAGCAACGTCAGATAAAGCAAAGTCAATCATAAGCTCCTTAAAACCAGTGGCAAAACCCACAGAGCCAGACTTTTTTGGTGACTGGTATGCCACAGATGACGTTCCTTCACAAACAGTGAGTGTTTTTTAGCCTAGTATTGTGTTCTATCGTGTCTGGTGTGTATCGTGAGTGAGTGCAATTTCCAGAAGCCACCTGCTTAAATCCAGATCCATTCAAGTGTTTGTACAAAAGCAGTGGTCATTCAAATGTAGTCTGGACAAAAAGCAAAACAGTATGTGGTAAGCTAAGGTTAGTCAGTCACAACAGAACAGCAGCATTTTATCCAGGTGACAATGAAAAATACTTAATTAAACGACCCAAATTAAAACATCTAAACATTACAACTCCACTGTGACCGGTGAAAGAAATTCATACTTTTATTCAGCAAGATTGCATTAAGTTGATCAAAAGTGACAGTAAAGACATGTACAAAAGATTTATATTTTGAATAAATGTTGTTCATTTAAACTTTGTTCATCATAGAATCCTAAAATGTATCATGGTTTCCACAAAAAAATTAAGCAGCTACTGTTCGAGTCAACTGTTTTGAACTTTGATAATAGTAAGAAATGTTTCTTGAGCACTAAATCAGTATATTAGAATGATTTCTGAAGGATCATGTGACACTGAAGACTGGAGCAATGGCTGCTGAAAATTCCATCTCGGGAATATATTACATTTTAAAATGTATTACAATAGTAAACCATTAAAACAGTTTAAGTTGTAACAGTATTTCACAATAATACTGTTTTTGTATAGTAAATACATTAATTCATGTAAAAAAAACGGTCCAATTAATTTTCAATAAAATTTTGTTTTTAATTGTTAGCCATTGATGTTTTAATGTGAAAACTGTGTTTTCAACTGCCCTGAAACATGCTAACCTTTCTCTCAATGTTTGTCTTTATTGCAGAACTGTCCCAACAACATTAGGAAACGTGTACCTCAGACTCAGTTTGCTGAGATGTTTCTGCACAATATTCCAGTGCTTCAGTGGGCAAAGCATTTCACTCCAGAAGAGTACCAGCGGTTGAGACACTATGGTGGAGCACACGGCTGGGGAGGTGTTAGTGCCGAAGGTATGTTGTTTTTGGGGATCTGCTTGAAGTCACTAGTCTTCTAAAACTTCAAATTTACCTGCTCCGAGTGTTTTTATTGTCCAAGGTTTCAGAGTGATTTAGCCATTAGCGTGCCATTACTTTTATGCTCGGGTTTTGTCAGCATTTTTAGATAATGCAATTATTTAGAAATGTTTTGCAGCAAAAAAAAATAAAAAATCACCTAGATAAATATTCACAATTGTTTTTTTTAAATACTACTAATTATCAATCTGGTTATTAATGCCTATTTTTAATTTTAATTACATTTATTGATTAATTACATTAATTACACACAATTATTGATTTGTTTCAATTATTTATTTTAGTTATTTTAAAATA